TGGAGGTGGTCTTTTACATTCTCACGTACAAACCTATCCTAAAGGGTCGGAACAACAGCAAGTTACATGCTATCATCACAATGATGCAAACAATGAATGGATTGTGAAAAAGATTCGTAATAAAAAATCTTCCGAATCTCCGGAGTCAGATGAATCGTCCGAATCGTTTAACAACAAAACCGATATTGAGTTTATAAAGAATAATGATGTGATCCGTTTATTACACGCTAAAACGGGACGGAACCTCCATTCTCACCAAGTGAAGGCACCTGTCACGAAATCGCAATGGGAAGTCAGCTGTTACGGTAATGAAACCGTTGGTGACAGTAATGATTACTGGATTGTTGAGGTGTACGATGATCTAAATGTCAAGACCGATAGAGTTCGTTCATTGACCACTCGTATACGATTCCGTCACAAAGTTCATAATTGTTATCTTCGAGCGGCGAATGTTGTCTTGCCACAATGGGGATTCAAGCAAACAGAGGTCACTTGTGACAAAAGAAACAACCCAAAGGATGTATTTACGCATTGGAATATTGAACGTCATTGGAATGATAAATGTAAAGTATCGATTGTTTCTATTCATTTCTTTTTTCGATGAATTTCTCATGGGATTCATGCTTAATTTACAATGAATTTAGTGCCACCGGGTGGAAAATCTCATTATAAATCAAGATTTTTCAATGATTTCTGGCACTTGAATGTTGCCATGTATACTACGAATAATGCCCTTGTTCCTGATCCTGATAAGGATGACATTCTTGCGTCTTCCCCACGTCAATGGCCAATTATGGAAGTCGGTCTTCGAATGTGTTCATGGGCTGACAATGCCGTCAAGTATTATCTACTTGGCAACCCCTTCGTTTGGTTACCTGGGACTGCTTCATTGGTTCTTTACCTTCTTGTTCTAGCTTGGTATATTGTCAGGCGACAACGTCAATATCGAGATCTTACACCAGGTGACTATTTAGAAATCCGTACATGCATATATGTTACTGTAAATCTAATGTTTGATTGATTTGATATTTGTAACAGCACAATGGGATCATTATCTGTACATCGGAAAGGTCTGTCTGGTTGGATGGTTTTTACATTATATACCATTCTGTATAATGGGTCGCGTTACGTATCTACATCACTACTTCCCCGCACTTTATTTCTCAATCTTAATGGCCGGATATATCGGTGACCATTTCACTTCGAAACTCAACAAAAAATTCAAGGATATTATATTCGGAATAAGCTATTTGCTAATCGTTGGAGTATTCCTATATTTCAAGGATGTCTCATTTGGAATTACCTATCCTTCGAAGGAGTACAAGAGTAGAAAATGGTTTAGCACTTGGAATATTGCGGACTAAAAGTACACATACTTAATTGAATATAAAGCATACATTATTCCTTGCACTAATTGGGTGCCTCGAACCAAGTAGATACATCCTAACTTTCCATAGAGGACTTACATTTATAATCCAATCAATTACCCTTTTACCCATTTTACTTTATACACGATTTT